TAAGAGTCACCCACACCACGTGTCTTGATGTAGCTAAGAGTCACCTACACCACGTGTCTAGATGTAGCTAAGAGTCACGCACACCACGTGTCTAGATGTAGCTAAGAGTTACCCACACCACGTGTCTAGATGTAGCTAAGAGACACCCACGCCACGTGTCTACATGTAGCTAAGAGTCACCCACACCACGTGTCTACATGTAGCTAAGAGTCACCTACACCACGTGTCTAGATGTAGCTAAGAGTCACCCACACCACGTGTCTAGATGTAGCTAAGAGTCACCCACACCACGTGTCTAGATGTAGCTAAGAGACACCCACGCCACGTGTCTACATGTAGCTAAGAGTCACCCACACCACGTGTCTAGATGTAGCTAAGAGTCACCTACACCACGTGTCTTGATGTAGCTAAGAGTCACCCACACCACGTGTCTACATGTAGCTAAGAGTCACCCACACCACGTGTCTTGATGTAGCTAAGAGTCACCCACACCACGTGTCTAGATGTAGCTAAGAGTCACCTACACCACGTGTCTAGATGTAGCTAAGAGACACCCACGCCACGTGTCTAGATGTAGCTAAGAGTCACCTACACCACGTGTCTTGATGTAGCTAAGAGACACCCACACCACGTGTCTAGATGTAGCTAAGAGACACCCACGCCACGTGTCTACATGTAGCTAAGAGACGCCCACACCACGTGTCTAGATGTAGCTAAGAGTCACCCACACCACGTATCTAGGTGTAGCTAAGAGTCACCCACACCATGTGTCTAGATGTAGCTAAGAGTCACCCACACCACGTGTCTAGATGTAGCTAAGAGTCACCCACACCACGTGTCTAGATGTAGCTAAGAGACACCCACACCACGTGTCTAGATGTAGCTAAGAGACACCCACACCACGTGTCTAGATGTAGCTAAGAGACACCCACACCACGTGTCTAGATGTAGCTAAGAGACACCCACACCACGTGTCTAGATGTAGCTAAGAGTCACCCACACCACGTGTCTAGATGTAGCTAAGAGACACCCACACCACGTGTCTAGATGTAGCTAAGAGACACCCACACCACGTGTCTAGATGTAGCTAAGAGACACCCACACCACGTGTCTAGATGTAGCTAAGAGACACCCACGCCACGTGTCTAGATGTAGCTAAGAGACACCCAAGCCGTGGTAGAGTATTCCAATGCCACGTCAAGCGAACGCTTCTGGTGCTGACAACGGAACCTGTCGACACAGAGCGGCGCACGCACAGCAGCCGGCTCGGCCGCTCGGCACTGTGTCAGTAGCCAGCAAGAGCTGCGCAGACCGTCATGTGATCACTGTGCGGTAGAACTCTTCTTATCCTCGATGAACGAAGAGGAGGAGAGGGGGGGGGTACGATCCTCTACACAGTAACTTAATTGGAACCGCTCACGAGTCGGACACCCCCAACGCCCAAAGTGCTGGCTGCACAATCTACAGCGTGGGGTTTCGTGGTTGATCTCACCACGTGTTTCCAGACTGTACCGAGTGCCGTCCGGCCCGACGTCCGACGTTTCGCACCGCACGCTGGGAGCGTCTTCTTCTTCTTCTTCATCGTGAACTGAATTCACGTCACTCAGATGTGGCACAGAGAGTCTCTCTCTCGTGGCTTTGAACTTCCTGTTCCAGAACTGGATTCAGTCCCGGCGAGCGAGACAACCAGACAGCAGCGGCAGTGGCGGGCAAGATCGCGTCATCAAGGGGATAAAAGCAAGCTCCTCAATGTAGTTGCCAAATAACCCTCCAGTGCTTGACGCGAAAGGTTCGCACATCGCGTCAATCAACGTGCGCTACAACCTCAAAGCGCAACGGAGAGCGGTCTGACTCCGCCATGTCTCTTACATTGTTTCTTGTCAAATTGTTGTTGTTGATATTGTGGCTTTGGAACAAAACAGCCTCTTCCCCACTCACCTGCTTCTGCCCCCCCCCCGACCCTTCACCACTTACACGGTCTCGGAAGCGGAGACCAATTTTACATCCGACCACTTTTGACGTCGTGCGACTTTTGTGCGACTCCTCGGCAAATAAGCAACGCGATGTCTCCGCGAGCGGAGGGCGCAAACGCGTTTCCATGGCTCTCTCTTTATCTCTATTAGAGCCGTGTTTATTCTTGCCAGACTGACAGTAATTACGTGTCAATTAAGGCATTGGAAACTTAATTAGGCTCTGCGTGTCAAGTTTGTTTTTCAAATATTTGTTAAAAGCAACTACCGCTCTCTCTATATATATATAAAACGTATCTATATGAAGACAAAGATCCCCCGGATAGCCTTAACAGACTGTTGTGGCAAGTGCTGTTAGCGAGCACATTTGAAGGCCGGCACAGCACACGAGGGGGTGGATGGCCAGCACCACCCGCGCCCGGCTGCCTTCGTCTCCCGAGAGGCGATGTTTACACACCGCACGAGGTGTTCATTATGAGGCCGAGTCGACCTAAGGGAGGCCCAGAACCGCCTCAGACAATCATCACCGGTGCTGGGCCGTGAGTGGAATCGAACTCGGGTCGCATAGCGCATCACGCTAACCGCTCCACTATCGCTCCCCGCACACACACACGCGCGCAGTGCGTTATATAGCGTGCAACACATGTAACGCAGGTTTCGACGCTTGTTCAACCGGAACGCCGAGCAAGCGCTATTGATGAACGGGATACAATTGTGCGGACACTTGCTTCAGAAACTCGATAGAATGCAGTGAGATTATTTAGCAATTATATCTTCGTCTGTAATCACGTTACGGAACAAGGAGGCTCATACCGGGGATGATTCAACGGAGAGATAAATAAATTGACACTCTGAACTCTTAAGTGCGTGCACAAGTTTAATGGGCCGTGATGAATGTTTTTTGACTGCCGTGCGCATAATACTGGTAATATGTACACTCGGAATATTGATGCCACAGTGGCCTAATCGATAGGGCCTTCGCTTTTCCTTCTCTATTTGTGACAACGCTGCACTGACGGTTATCTGGCGGTCGGCAAAAACAATCACGGGGCATCCATCCGATCGTGAAGTTGCTTTGCCCTCAAATGAAAAAGCCAGGATTCCGTGTGTGGTCGGGGTGCTTATGGCTGTTCCTATTTTTTTTTTATCCATCCCAGTGGTAGCTCATTGCCGCGATACAGTCGACATAGTCTGGAGCCTGCCGGGGGATAAAGAAGTCTATCACATTGACTCCGAACCTCCGAGGCATTGGAAATTGTAAATAATCAATCAGAGTCAGAGCCCTCGACACCAGTGAAAATCCATAGCACCCCAGGACATCTGAAATGCAAGTCCCCCCCCCCCCCCCGCCTGCCCCTCCACCACCCCATCGCCCGATCTTATTTTCGTAAAATTGTTCTCTGCCAGAACTACAGGAAGTTCAAAATAACCCCACGCTCTAGGCTCTAGCGAAGTGTGAGATGGCAGAAATATATATATATATAAAACCCAGTTAAAGTCACTTGCCGTTAATTCAGGAAAATGGAAATCATCCAGGTTCGTGTGATGTTTAGCTCTTAATGATTCCCGACTAAGTTTTAAAGCATTCATGCAGTAACTCTGTCTACCAGTCTCTCTGTCGGTCTGTCCGTCCGTATGTAACATCGGGTCACTAGAAGGGTGATACACACGATCCAATATGAATAAGCCTGCGTTGCAAACGCATTTACCTCCCTGATTGTTAACCGGTCGGCTTCCGTGCCGCTCATGATATATTTACGACAAACGAACGAGTATTGGATAATGCGTCATAGAATTCCAGGCGGATGTACGATGTTTTGGTTAATTTCAGACCCAAATATCATGCGGGAGGACGACGCGGCAGAGACTCTGCGTGTACGTGAACCACTGGCACGTGCCGATACGAATTAGCGTCCCTGCCACCGAAAACCGCGCGCGGTCCCCTCTCTCATTATGCGACGCAGTCTCGGCTCGGCGTGTAAAACACGTGCTACGGGACACACACACACACAAAACACGTGTCATATTCCAATTAAAACATGTCACACGCACCGATAACAGGCAGCTTTAATTTGACAAAGTTCAGAGTTTATCAATTTTTTTGTCTTTCAGCAGGGAGTTGGAAAGGTGGGGGGGGGGGGGGGGCGAGGAAGGGGAGGTGGAAGACGAGACTAAGGAGAGAGGAAAAGTTCGGAATGCAATTACCTGCGTGTGATTTTGTCGGAAGTCACCGATAGACGTGTTGACGTAAAACGGGCACAATGGGCACAATCTCTCAGAGCCAAACGGTGTGGGATGGGGGGGCAGCATAATGAGATTTCTTGGAAATGTTACAGTCTCGGAGAAAGTGACACGTCAATTATCCTGCTATAACGGAACTGCGCGCTCTATGGAAATGGGACAACGGGGAAAAATGCGTTCCCTCCCACTGATCCATCCCATTCACTTTTCATCACGTGCACCGAATGGCCTGCCTGCCTGCCAGCCAGCAAGCTAGCCGGCCCACATTTTACGTTTCATCCGAAAGCCACTAGTTGAGCCGTGTTAATTATTTCATGGCTATAGAATAATGGAACGCCTTATATCGTGCACACGGCATATTTATACGCTATCCTGGTAAATTATGTAAATGGACGTTCGCCTTTTTCTCTCATTCATTTTGCACAAAAGAAGTGCCCGCGTCGTTATAGAGACTCGACTTCATGAGATGCCCCCACTGGACATAGCAATGAGCGCCGGAGAAATTAATTTAGCAATTAAAGGCGAAGGTTGAGTATGATATACATATTGAATTGCAAATGAGACTGAGTAGCTAAAGAATGTAATAGCAAACACATGTTCCCGGCAGGTCCAATGTATGAAATCAAATTGGGCAGATTTACCATCATAGCCTAAATTTCAACTGTGAACATTAATCATCATCACCATCATTCAAACACTCCTCCCCCCACCCAAAAAAAAAAAAACTATAATAGCCCCGGGCCCCCACTAAACTTACTATGGCTTTTGGTCTTCCCCTTGGTCACTGACCTGTGTGTGTCACTCGTGCCAGTTGCCGTAACCTGCCTCTTCCATCCGGCACATTTGCCCCAGTCTGCCGGGGTAAACAAAGCAGCAGATACAGATGAGATCGCTCGCGGTTTTGAATGCACGCTGGTGCCAAACGCTCGTAACACATAGCGCTGCAGCCTGTCCACCAACCCCCCCCCCCCCTCAAAAAAAGAAGCCTACTTCGGCGGCACTAATAGTTTTAAAAGACGAGAAATGTACGCTGCATAATTTATTTAAACGGCGGTCGCAACAGCGGAACATTTTGGCATTTTTATTGTATTATACTGGTCAAAAAAAACGGCTCGACTCTGCCGTGCTGCATGCCAAGCGAAGAAAAGGTTTCAACTCTTATTAAGCTAGTATTGAAAATTAAATGTCATTGAGAAGAGAAAAAAGGGGTGGGGGGGGGGGCGATATATGCAAATAGACACTGCGCCTGCAACATATTGTAGCCGCTTGCAACCATTGGCTTAGCGATGTCTTTGAAGGTGTTACATAATTGACATTTTCATCTTCTTGGTTCTTTTCGGTAAAGTCACGTAGAAGGGAAGTAATAAAATAATAAAAATAAAACATAATAAAATAATTCTCACGACGTTTCGGCCACAACGCAAGTAGCCGTCCTCAGGTGAAACCAGGTCTGTCAACAGACGGCTACTTGCATTGTGACCGAAACGTCGTGAGAATTATTTTATTATGTTTTATTTTTATTATTTTATTACTTCCCTTCTACGTAACTTAACCGAAAGAACCAAGAAGATGAATCCCTGCAGTCACGAAAGCTTTATATCGAAAAAAAAAATGACATTTTCATATACATCCATTTTCTCCCCGTTGGTTCGCATGCCCAACGTTCGGGCATTTATTTTACGGTAGTTTATCTTTAATTGTAGGGCGGTCATTGATACAAATCAAACAAAATGACTACTGCCTGAACGTGAGCATACTGTTATATATAAGATGTTATGTTTACGTTATTCGTCAGTCATATATCACGTCAGTTCAATTATGACCGTGGTGCGTTACTGCTAGAATTGAGCATCTTCATTTGGTTATGATGAACAAAAACATTTAATTGATCATCAAATTCCAACGTCCTCTGCAGTGTATTCAAATGTCTTGTCTGTCTGACAAAAACAATATTTCACAACGCTCTTTTAAAAGCAACGCTGAATCAATAACCTATCATGGGCGGGGGGGTAGGGGGGTGTTTGACCATACTTCACCACACGCTTGTTAGTTTCGAAGTTGTCAAATTCCCCACGGCACCGGGAACGGTGATTACAAACAGCACTCACTGCCGATGTAAGTTGTGACCGGGAATTGAACTCAAGCTCAGCAGGTTCTTAGGAGATGTGGGGCAATGCAAGGCGTGGCGCCACCACCGCTCCACCCTAAAGCCACGTGACAAATCACGGACGACCAAAACGCGATGAAACTGGGGCGAATGTCGCACAAAACTTAAGAGTTTAATTTGACCGGAGCGTCAACGTCACCTTCCCCATCGCCCACCTGAAACTGTGACCCTTCGCGCTCCCACGAAACTCCACGCGGCACCGACTGTCGCGTCGCATCCCTTCATGTTGAGCGACGGGTCGCCCTCGCCGCGTTGGCAGGGGTGGGCGATTCTGCCAACTCAGCTCCTCCGACAGAGGCCGCGTCGCCTGGGCCGATGCTTTGTGACAGCGGCTTCCTGGGCCAAACCCCACGGTGGAGTCGAAGCGAGCCGCTACTGCCACCCGCTCTTTTGCTGTGCTCTGTTAGATGTTTTTTTTTTGTGTTGCTGTTGTTGTTGGCGTAGCGCTGTCGCATGAGACCCCGCGATTCAAGGTCACGCAACTCCCACTGTATCGCAACGCGGTGGATTCTGTGTGGCTGAGTGGCTACAAGCGAATGCTCTACTCCTCCTCCTCCTCTGGGTATTTATTTGTGTATATATATCTCGGTTGCTGGGCGCATGCCCAAAGCGCCATGCGGTCAGCAACAAACAGCGCTTTCGAGGGTGTAGTAGATTGTGGTAAACAGGTTGGGTTGTTTTTAATGAGAAGGATTATACGAACCTGGGGAAATTATATGACGGTGATGATGGTGGTCTAAAGGAAAGCCAACGTGGAGCAGTGCAAGCGAAGCAGAAAGAGACGTGAGCTGACCTGCAGTATCAAGAGTGAGTGGGTTGGTGAATGAGTGGGTGGGTTAGTCTGTAGGTGAGTGAGTCAGTGAGTGGATAGATGAGTGGGTAGGTGAGTGAGTCGGTGCGTGAGTTAGTGAGTGATGAGTGGGTAGGTGAGTGAGTCGGTCAGTGAGTGGATAGATGAGTGGGTAGGTGAGCGAGTGGTTGAGGAGTTCGTAGGTGAGTGGGTAGGTGGATGAGTGGGTGTGTGAGTAGGCGAGTGGGGAGCGGTAGTGTAGCGGTTAGCGCACTGCACTACGAACCTGGCTACCCGGGTTTGATTCCCGCTCGCGGCAAACACCAGTGACGATTATCTAAACCGGTCCTGGGCCTCCACTCGGTCGACTCAGCCTCAAATGAGTATCTGGTGCGATGTGTAAACATCGCCACTAGGGAAACAAAGGCGGCCGGGCGTGGTGTTGGCCACCCACCCCTTCGTGTGCCATGCCGGCTTTTATAGTTGCTCGCTAACAGTACTTGCCCCTAAAATCTGGTAAGGCTATACGGGGGATCTTTGTCTTTGTAGGTGAGCGAGTGGGTGAGTACGTTAATGCTTGAGTGCGCAGGTGAGTGATCAGGTGGGGTGGGTGAGCGAGTGGGCTGTCTCATTGTTGTTGTGGCCTGCAGTCGTCTGATGGTTGAACACGTCAGTGTGGTGGATGAGATGATACAGATCCAGCACGGTCGGGCAGGGCACACCAAGTCCTCAACACGGGTGAAGGGGGGAATCGATAACTGAAGTTTATGAGAACCGTAACCATGGTGGTGGTACTCTTAGTTTTTTTCGGTAAAGTCACGTAGGAAAAAAATAAAATTAAAATTAATTAAAAAAAATATTTTTTACCTACGTGACTTTACCGAAAAAACCTAAGAGTATGAATCCTTGCAGTCACGAAAGCTTCAAATCTAGACATGGTGGTGGTGATGGTGGGGACAGTTGCGACAGCAGTGTAGCGGTTTAGCGTACTGCGCTATGAACCAAGCGAGCCGAGTTCACGGCCAACACCAGTGACGAAATATGTGAACCGGTCCGTGGCGTCCCCTAAGTCGATGTGAAAAAAAAACATTGCCACTAGAGAGACAAAGGCGGCTGGGCGTGGTGCTGGCCACCCAGCCTCTCGTGTGCCGTTATGGTCGCTCACAGCACTTGCCCCAACAGTGCCCCAACAGTCTGTTAAGGCTATACAGGAGATCTCTGTATTTCACTTTTGACAGTAGCGAAACGAGAGTGCCGTGTTTGTAGCGATCTCCCAGTTCACGGAGTGGCGCTCGGGGCTGGAGAGGCAGAGCGTTCGCGACGCTCGTTACTGCGGTTGAGAAATTAAATCCTGGTCGAGGCTGTCGATAAAACAATTTCAAACTTGAATTCAAAGCGAAGAAGAAAAATAATAATTATCGATTAGAAATCTCGGTAAATAGCAGAGATGCCACCGTTTACAGCATCAACAGCTTAGCCTTGCGAAATTTATTTTTTTTAATTCTGAAATTAACGTATTCATTGTATACATGTGTATGGAGTATAGGAGCTGGAGTAGGAAAGCAGTGGTTCGTGCACTGCACTACAAAATACAGGATATCCCGGTCACGGCTAACATCAGTGGCGAAGTGACTTTCAAGCCAGAAATGGTCATCCCCTTTATGTTCAGTCAACACATGCCGATGATCAAAAGGTTGTGGGGAAGCCTTCATCCAGCAGTGGATTGACAAAGGGCTGTACATTGGAACGTGCCCTGGTGGACGTTCACCCAAGGAGATGGAACAATGAAACGAGCTCGTGTCCCTTTTCTGTGTGGATCGTCACTTAGTCGCGGAGATGGTGAGAGATGGGGACGGAGGGCCTTGGCAAGGCATTCATAGAGCAGTGGATTGAGCGTGGCTTGAGGATGACGATTGTAAAACGGTGTGGATTGATGGACAACCCCACGCAGGCAGCAAGCAGGCAGCTGTTCCCGGAGCGTGGGGCGCGAACAAGGTGCGTGTCACGTGACAGCATGGCATGCCTGCCAGCAAAACTCCACGAAGTCTCTCCTGAAGCCCGCTCGTCGCGGCTAGCAGACATCGACATTGGCATTTAGCTCCTTCAACATATTGTCCTAATAAGCAAATACTAGACGGGTTCACTGCATTGGTTCGAGGTGGGGTTGTCTCTGATGATGAGATGCTGAATGCCACGATCAGTCCAAGGTTTGTTTACGTTGTGGCTGTGGAGCTGATAAGATGTGCTGCAAGAAGGCCATGCAGTTGGTGGGTTCTGTAAAGCATTTTTTCGTATTATCTTAATGTGCGGATACAAATATGGGAAGGAGGCATTTTTGTATTATTTATCCACCGCATAGATTGTTGTATTGCTGAACAGAGGAGACTCTGAGCCACGTAAGATAAATGTTGAGCCACATCCCAAGGAAAACTGAATTCAGTTTCAAAAGGAGCTTCCAGCACATGTGCAGTGGGTTCACTGGAGACACACACTTGACTTTGCAGGCAACGCGTTTATTCTAAGACCACAACGGGATATCTACATAAACGTACACGGGATAACGATATAGGTGGTAACTACCGCGGTTAACTAGACCACAACGGGGTAACTACATAACCGGGTCAGGTCAGTAACACATTGCCTGACCCACGACGCCGAACGTGACGACCGAAGCCCGAAGATCGAAGAGACGCAGCACGGCGGGATTCATTCCAGAAGACAGCCCCGATCGGATCTCGGGACCTCCCTTTTATGCCCCTGAGCGTGGCCTGGCTCCGCCCTTGGCCACGCCCTCTTCTGAATCCTACCAGAAGGTTCTGGGCCTTCTGTCACGTGTCCCTCTCGCCCCCTCTTGGCCCCCATCATTATCCTGTCCTGGTGACGTGCCCTCTCGTGTTCACCCAGACTGTCACGTCCTCAACTGTCCTCTCTCTGACAGTCACCAGAACCATGCCCCCTCGGCCCCCCTTCCATGCCATACCTACTCTGGTGCCAGAGAGAGGCTCTAACACTCACAGTTCCACTCTTCTGTCAGTAGCTAGCGCTAACACCGTAGTGACCCAATATACGTCACTACACATGGAGCGAAACGTCGGACATCGTGTCGAGCAACAAGGATCAGAGAAAGAGAGAGAGATTGCACGGCACAACCGCGACAAACCGACACGGTGAATATTCGGTCTGAAATTCACACGGGAAGAGTCAGCGAGGGGGAGCGGGGGGGGGTCATAGCCCGACATTTGGAAAGCACACGAATACGAGACGTCTAGACATCCCTCAATATAAAAAAAAAAAACTTTCATCGTCTCTCGTCGTCTCAAGATAAGGAGCTCGATACAACTCGCTTGGCATCCGTTTTGCTCTTTGTGTGTTTCGTGGGCGAAGTCCATTTGAAATGTGGTTCACTTTGGCTTTGAGGGTTGTTTTTTTTGTTTGTTTGTTAATGAAGCCCTAATGGTGCCGGAGCGGCCTCTACTGCTGGCACTGTGCATTGGCAGTCTGGTCATGTCACGGGCTCGCGTGTCTCCCGCTGGAAGAGACAGGAGGAGAAGGATGTGCAGGCGAGTGTCGCGTGCCTTCACCAGAAGCGACGCTCATTCAGCACACAGTGTTCCGAGCAGAGCTCAACGTGTCCCCCATTAAACACAGTGTGTAGTGATGCTGCGTTGGCAGTGATGCACAAGCATAACAAAATTTAAACTTGACACGTTCATCAATTACACTTCCTTAAAAAATAAATATATATACTCACTCTGATTTTCTGGCCTGCCGACGTGCTGTGAAGAAGGCCAATTGCCCGAAACGTCGCCTATTATTACGTACATTTGATTTTCAAGGCCGCAGTGTTATTGACGAAAGTATCCCCTAACGCGAGACCCGTTAATTTACAGGCTGTCAAAAAACACTTCGAGGCGTAACTGTGCACAGCGCAAAGCATCGCAGGGCAAATCACGTCGCTCGCTCCATCGCTGGGCTGTCCGCACTCAGCAAGTCACGACGCAGTGACGAACGTTACGCCGCCGACGCTCGTTTACGTATCAATCGGCGTTCTAAAAAAAAGTGCGGTGACAGCTCAAGAAGGCGTCGAAAGAAATGTCTTGCCTTTCAAAATAAACGCCGCTCAAATGCTGCGCGCACGGTGCGCCGACGGAGCCGTGTGGCATCTCTGCAGAAGAGTAGCATTTTTTGTTACTGGGGAGAGGGGAGCGGAGATGGTGAGGGTAGGTGGATGGGGCGTGAGTGAAGGTTACGCCATGAACGTGAGAATTACAAAGTAAAGCAATTTTCCTGCAAGCGACCAAAAATGTTGTTCCAACAGAGTCTCACTAAACACCGCGGACGATGTGCACGCTGTCCAAATTGCATGCCCCTTCCACTTTTGGGCGGCTGTAAAAAAAATAATAAAAAATGGGCTTGGCGCTGCGGAATTGCAAAACATAATGACGGAGGCATGTATTGCACGCGGTCATAATTTATTTCCCTGTGGGCATGATGCAGTTATCTCACATGATTCATCCGCATTCATCGTTTCCCGTCCTAAAAAAAAATACCCAGCAGCATCTGTTTTCCGCAGCAGA